AACTTTCGTGTTTATAATATTAATAAGATAATGCGGTGATGCAATGTATGTATACCTGTTACATAAGACTGTATGAAGGTTCTAGTTTGATTCCAAGCGGTGACCTTCATGAGAAGCAAACCGAGACAACCACTTACATTTGACTGCCTATCTAATGTACTACATGACTAACATACTTATATTAAAAACCCAACTATATTTAGTAGTCAAAGATTATAAAAACTATTACAGTAGACTTTAAAAATTCGTCTGCTGTAAGCTAAGGAAACTTGAGAAAAAATATCTCCCCAAGAGAATGGGAGAATAATAAAATTTATGAAACAATTTATTACATTTATTTATTAATTGTGTAAATTTATACAACAATATAATTTATTAATTATATTTGTAAATATTGATGAAACTATTAGCTTAAATAAGACTGTAATGAAGGTTCTAGTTTGGTATAAAATTAACCGAGACTACCACTTACATTTGACTGCCTATCTAATGTAATACATGACTAACTAACATATTTATATTAAAAAACTCAACTATATTTAGTAATCAAAGATTATGAAACTATTAAAGTAGACTTCAAAAATTCGTCTGCTAAAGAAACTTGGGAAAAACTATCTCACTAAATATTGCAATAATTAAGTTTATTGTGAAAATTATGAAACAATTAAATTTATCTATAAAATTTATGAAATGAAATGAAATAGTTAAATTTATTAATTGCATATAAATTTATGAAACAATTAAATTTATTTATATTGTGAAATTTTATTATACAATTAAGTTTTCATAGAATATGAAACAATTAGCTTACATAAGCTTAGATAATTATGGTTCTAGTTTGGTATAAAGCAGAACCGAGACTACCACTTACATTTGACTGCCTATGTAATGTACTTCATGACAAATATTAAAAAACCCAACTATATTTAGTACTTCAAGATTATAAAAACCATTGAAGCAAACTTTGTATACATTCGCCTGCTATATGTAGGCTATAGAAACTAGGGGAAAAAATGTCTCCCTAAATTCGTTTGCTAGAGCCCTTAGCTAATTCGTCTGCTAGGGGCTAAAGAAACTTGGAATAATGTCTCCCCAAATGGGGCAATAATGAATTTTGTGAAAATTTATGACTCAATTAACATTTATATATTAATTTTGTAAATTTATGAAACAATTAAATTTATTAATTGTATTTATTATATTTGTGAAAAATTATGAAATCTTTAAACTTATTTATATTATGAAAATGTTATAATTAATCTTTCAAAGAATATGAAACCATTAGCTTACATAAGAGTGTAATGAAGGTTCTAGTTTGGTACAAAGCAGAACCGCGACTACCACTTTTGACTATACATTTAACTGCGTATCTAGTGTACTGTATGTATGTACATGAGTAATATATTTATATTAAAAAACCCAACCACCGTTTGTACGCACAGATTATAAAGCCATTAAAATAGACTACGTAAACATTCTACTGCTATATTTAGGCTAAAGAAACTTGGGAAGAATATCTTACTCAATGTCGCAATAATTAATTTTGTGAAAGTTTATTTTAAAAATTATGAAACAATTAAATTTATCTATAAATTTTGTGAAAAATTATTATTAATAATAATAATAATCTCATGACATTCACACAGCGCCATCTAGACCCAAGTTAAGCTAGCTAAAGCTTGTGTTATGAGTACTAGATAACTGATACAAATACATAGATATATTTTTTCGTAAATATATACATATTATACGTAGAAAACACCCGATACAAACAATCATACTCATCAAGTGTTTTGTACCGTCCGAGGAATCGAATCCACGACCATCAGAAGTAAGACGGTGTACTAAACCGCTAGACCACCGAGGCCGTCATTGTATTATTAACTAATTTATTAATTACGAGGTGGGTCACCTTTATCACTTAGGGGTTTACAAATTAGACAATAGCCTATTCTCAGACTTCCCGAGTATAGATATTTTCATCGAAATACTTCAAGAAACTTCTTGGTATTGCATTGTGGAGGATAGGCGAATATTATTACAAAAAATTTGACGTTCATAAGCGGCTAAAATGTCGTACATGAATATTATTTTTGACTAGCTGACACCCCGAACTCCGTTTCGCCACAAAATTAAATACGTCAAAGATTTTGAAGTTTAGTTACGCAATAAATTTCTGAACGCACCCTGTTTGACAGGTATCAGCCGTTTGTATGGGAAAATCAAATTGTTGTTATTACTATTTTACATGCAATTTCTTCGTATTTTATCAACGTTTAAACCTTGCCTGGACTTCCACGAATAGTTCAAGACTAAAATTAGCCAAATCGTTTCAGCCGTTCTCGAGTTTTAGCGAGACTAACGAACAGCAATTCATTTTTATATATATAGATTTCGTTTGATTTATATATACACATACGAGTGTACATGTATAATACATATAAACCTTCCTCTTGAATCACTCTATCTATTAAAAAAAACTGTTCAAAATCCGTAATTTTAAAGATTTAAGCTTACATAGGGACGGACAGACAGCGACAGCGACTTTATTGTATACTATGTAATAATGATACGCAATTTTTATATATTACAAGCGGACCCTGCAAACGTTGTTTTGACATAAATTGAACTTAGTATTTCGTTATAAAAAAACAGGGGTTGATCATAAAAGGGTGAATTTTGGATGTTATTTTTCAATGATAAATATTTATAAAATAAAAAAAATTAGCAATAATAAATATTTTTATATATTTTTGAATATGCAAAACAGATGTTGGCCGATTCTCAGACCTAGTTAGGTAGCTGATATGCACACACTTTTTTATATATTAGAAGATGATCTAATTGTAATGAATTTACTGTGTGTAATAACAAGTAAACACACAAGGCTCACCACCATTGTTTACAGATAAAATCTATTTACTCATTACAAGTTGTTCATAGTGGGATTTCCGTGGAAACACCAGCCTTTTGTTTAATTTTATTTTATTACGTTGATCCAGAAATATCTGTGTAGTCTTTAGTGACAATAGAAACTGATCTATACATCTATACATATAAATAAAATTGGAGTGTCTGTTTGTAATATTGAAATAACCGTTTTTTACTACATATGAATATAAATACGGTATATACACAATAAGATTATTTTTTAATATTTGTCTGTCTGTCTGTCTGTTTGTTCCGGCTAATCTCTGAAATGCTAATGTAGATGTGACAACAGTTTTTCATCTACCGTCACTAGATTGTTCAACGAAAATTCGCGACACACAGCACTCACGGTATCCGTACACTTATCGACTGTTGATGATATTGAACTTTGTTTGAATTAATGTTAAGTGCAACCGGCTATATTATATATATATTATATATTCGGAATATTGGAATGTCAATAATATATTATTAATATATAATAATGATATATATAATAACTAGCTGTTTCCGCGACTTCGTCCGCGTGGAATTTAACTTCATTTATCTAATTTAAAAGAATTTTTCTAAAATAAAAGTAGCCTAACTTACTCCTTATTTCATCAGCTACCTGCCAAAAAAAGTCCCATCAAAATCAGTCCAGCCATTACAGAGATTAGCCGGAACAAACAGAACGACAGACAGACAGACAAAAATTGTAAAAACTGTTATTTTGGTGTATGTACAGTACAGTGTAAATACGGTATTTATATTCATATGCGTGTAGTAAAAAACGGTTATTTCAATATTCACAGACACTCCAATTTTATTTTTATGTATAAATGTATAGATAATGTTTATAAGTATTTAAACTACTGATTATAATGTAACTAACACTCAACTCAACTTGCTACGCGCTTAAGAACGCGCTGAAATCTAAAGTCGTTACTGAAATTGGCGTGCTAAAACTTAAGAACAAACAGATAAAAATTGTAATTTTTTTTACTTAAATTAATGTTACCTACCACGTGTACAAAGTGACGACGTGGCTTGTTTACGACTTTATTTTAAGTAAGTTTATATTTATGTTGGCAACGCCCACGCGCTCCTGGTGTTTCAAGCGTCCATAGGCTACCATACCATAGGTAACCTTTTACCATAAGATAGGCCTTACGCTAGATTTATACTAGAGCTCTAAAATAAGTATGATTGGTCCTTGCAGACGGTGGGACAACGGTAGGAGAGTGCAGATCGGGAGACTGCAAGAACGGCGGACACTGCGTGAGCGTGGGAGAAGGTGGGGACGCCGCGTGCCGGTGTAGCGGAGCGTGGGGCGGAGCGCGCTGCTCGCACTACGTGGGGCACGACCACGCCTGCCTGCACCTGCGATGCCCGCCGCCCTCGTTCTGCGCGTGGCAGCCCGCTGGTGAGTGCACACTGCTCGCATTACGTGGGGCACGACCCGCCGGTGAGCAGCACGCTGCTCGCACTATGTGTGGCACGACCCGCCGGTGAGTAGCACGCTGCTCGCACTATGTGTGGCACGACCCGCCGGTGAGCAGCACGCTGCTCGCACTATGTGTGGCTCGACCCGCCGGTGAGCAGCACGCTGCTCGCACTATGTGTGGCTCGACCCGCCGGTGAGCAGCACGCTGCTCGCACTATGTGTGGCTCGACCCGCCGGTGAGTAGCACGCTGCTCGCACTATGTGTGGCACGACCCGCCGGTGAGTAGCACGCTGCTCGCACTATGTGTGGCTCGACCCGCCGGTGAGCAGCACGCTGTTCGCACTATATGTGGCACCACACACACTAGTTGTCGCACTTCCATATCCTGAATCTTCACTGGGGTACCCCACTCTTTAAATCGGACCATAGCGTATAGAGCGAGCTTCCTACATACACATCTTATCTCTCAATATTCTTTTGTCTATGCCTAAGAAAAGTATTCATTTTAAGTTTACATATTTCGCAGCGGATCCGTCATCAGCAGGCGTGCCTTACTGCGCGTGCCTGGCGGGCGCGAGCTGCTCCCCGCCTGGTGAGGGGGTGACGGGGGTGGCGGGGGCGGCGGGGGCGGTGGGGGGTGCGGGCGGCGCGTGGGCGGGCGCACTGCTGGCGCTGGCGGCGCTGCTGGCGCTGGTGGCCGCCGCACTCTATATCCTGCACAGGCGGAGACAGTCAGTATATCTTATACTATACGCTTATGTGGTAGGCTGTTGTACTGACTATGTACCTGTTCTGACGCTAAGGAGCAGGACTTTAACGACTACATACGGATCAGGAGGAATCTGCCATAGCCACATCGCGAGTTTCAAGACGTTCGTGGACCGGGTGCCCTCCGACATGCTGCCCACCTTTATGAAGGAGGACTACTGGCCGAAGGGTGTGGTCAATCGGAGCTACCGTAGCAGATTGCCGTCGTCAGTCCCGTGACCAAACAGACAATTTCAATATTTCTATATCTTAGTTTTATAATATTAATTCATATGTAAGTTAGTCTATAAGGTATATATAAAAATTAAAATGCACTAATATAATATTTGGTGTTTGTAGCGGTGCGTTCGTGCACGCACGTCTGGCAGACAACGTGGAAATCAACAACCCGATGTACCTCGCCGGGGAGGACGAGCCCGAACACCGGCAGCCCACCGCGCACACGGTCAGTATCGCACGAAGGAGGCCGGGGGTGTCCGGACCCATTTGAAATTTATAGCCTATATATTATTGTGATATATAAGTTATATTATTGTAAAGTATCACTAAAATCTATTCAGTAGTTTTTGCGTGAAAGAGTAACAAATTCAAATTCAAATTCAAAAATCATTTATTCATGTAGGACATTTTAGCCGCTTATGAACGTCAAATTTTTACATTATAATTTTATTTTTTTTCCCTACCGTCCAGTTCGGTATATAGATCCAATTGAGAAGAACTGGCAAGAAACTCAATTGAATTACTTTTTTTTTTTAAAGCCAGTTTATTTACAATGTATATTTATATAGGTTATAAAAGAACAAACAACCGTCCATCCATCTACACTCACGAACTTCCACGTTTATAATATAAGTAAGTCTCAACAATTCACATTAACACAGTGCCATCTAGTCCCAAATCCTTATAAGATAATTGATCCGGCTCGAAGGACCATAAAGATGTATGAGTCTGCTGTGACAATCTGCTATGATGTAAAAATGATAAGTTTTCCTTGCTATCCAGATTTATTGAGTACACCATGCTTGGTTGTGTAGATTGTAGGGAAAATGGTATGTTTGGACGTTATATGGATGGAGAGCGGTGTAAAATACTGACGGCATGTAATGTGCCAAGAATCGAACCCGCGATCATCGCAAGAAAGGCGGTTCATTTGTCTGGTTTGCAGGTTGACGTGAGAATATAATTGTATCCTAAAGATTACACAGGTATTTTTTTAACTGAAGAAATTATTATATTATCTGCTAATCTTCTTGATTGTTATAGAACGGAGGAAATCACTTCTCAAACCCAGTATACGAGAGCATGTACGTGCCACAACAAATACCCACAGAGGTGAGACTGCCTTATGTAGATTCATAAACGATATACCAATAAAATCCAGAATTATTCTTGTAAAACTGAACCATATTTGTCAAGAAATAAAGCTCAAATCTGAATGTAAACTGTGAATTCTTAAATGATTTTTAGGTAATCGCACTGATAGAATAGAAAATCATTTATTCAAATAAACTTACATTGAAGCACTTCTGAATAGTCATTACATTTTTTTAATCTACAGCTCATTCGGAAAGCTGTCTCATCACAAGAAGAACGAGCAAGAAATTTGCGTGTTGCTCTTTTAAATAATTTTATTATTACTTTACATTTTTAAGTTTAAGTGTGTGAATACAAACCACCAATTGGCACTAATTCAATTAAATACTCAAATAGAAAAAAAAATAGAATATATAACCAACTGGTTAAACAATTAATAAGAGGAAATCAGTCATAGTGATTAGAGCAGACCAGTCCCTACAAGCAGCACCCGTTCACGAGTATGACGGATGAGCCAGCCATCACTGCGCTCGACCATATTTTAGGGAGCCCAATGACCCGGCCCAACACGCCGCCACAAGTCTGGTCATTTTAGTGAGCATGACTGCTCAAAACACTAGAATAGATAGTAAATAGTACGCGGTAATCTTAAATAAAATAGTGATTACAGCCGCCAGTAAAAACATATTACAACATATTAATAGATATACTTTTTTTATATAGGAGCACGCGAACTTACTGGATGCAAGTGTAGCTGAAAGTTCGTCCCCGCCGCCCGAGCGATCCGCACTGCTATGAACGTAAACCGGTCTTCTACCATCAGGATCAGGACCAGATCGCCACCAGGACCGAACTGACAGGACCCCTGGTGACTCATAGTTTTAAGTACTACAGCGCTCGACCATGACCGTCAGTAATGTGCCAATTGTAAGAAAATGTAAAATTGTGCACATTATGTAAACGGGATCAATTGAAATTGATAATATTGTAGTGATAATAAAATCACTCACTTAGTTGTATTTGAGATAATTTATAAATTATGTACATAAATTATATGGTTGGATCCAATGAACATGCCAGCAGTGAGTGAGACGGCAATAATCGTGCGATCCCGCTTGCACCTTGCTTATAAATATATCCCAGGCGCTCGCGTTGCGTTACCCCTCCCATCGGTCCCCCGTCCAATTCAAACGGGGATCGAAGTTACGACGGCCTGAGCCGAGGTTCGAACCCCTAGTGGTGCCCTCAGACTAAAGTCGTATCCGTCAGGCGGGAGTTGGCCTTCAGCCGCTCCATAAGTCCTTCCTTTGGTTTGGAGTGCCATCTGCACTCGCCCCCTATCGCCCGGTGAAGCTGTAAAGGCCAGCTGCGGCCAACAGCATTAGAAAACTCCCAAAAAAAAGCTTCCGAAAAAAAAAAAGCGTTACGCCCCTCATCATTAACTAAACAGAATTCCTATGTATTATTACAATAATAGAATAATCTATTGCTGTCCTCGTCTTACAACAAGTGTGTGACAAGGATAGCATGATGCTAATGCAGCGAATTTAACAGAATTGGTATGTTTTCATAATAATACTATAACCTATTGCTATCCTCGTCTTACAACAAGTGTGTGACAAGGATAGCATGATGGTAATGTGAAATTAACAGAATTGGTATGTTTTATAATAATAATAATAATATAATCTAATTATTATACATATAAGTATAATGTGATGTGACTTAAATATGGAACTCATTGCGTTTTCTTGCCTCTGAATATTATATGTTAAATGTTGTAGTACAAGTCATCGGTTGGTCGTTAAATCTATTAATATTTTTTTTGTAATCTATACATCTATACATATGAATAAAATTGGAGCGTCTGTTGTAATATTGAAATAACCGTTTTTTACTACATGAATATCAATATATATGCGGTACATATACCAAAATAACATTTTCTACAATTTTTGTCTAACCATGTGACAGAATAGCCGGATATCCGGCGGAACTTAACTAACTAATAAATTAATTTTCTTTCTATAACAGTCATTTACTATTGATTGATTAAAAATTTAATACTAAAACTAATTTTATTCCTTAGGTAATACTAAGACTAACTAAATAAAGAAAATAATTACTTAAAAAAAAAATTATCCAGATATTTTTTTTTAATTCGGCCGGATGCCTATCTGCCCGAATAGTAGTTATCCGGTATTCGGCCGGATTAGTATTAAGTCGGCCGGATAGGCAGGCCGCATACCGGATAGTTACCGGATATCCGTTTCAACTCTACGAATGATATTAAAGATTTTAACGACCGATCGCTTGTGATTACAAACAAATCCTGCATGTCACCAAAATAAATTATAAATATTACGGTCAGTATATTAAGTACTATATTTAGATTTATTTTTAGTTTTAGTCAACATATATTGTGATGAATTTATTGTTGTAAATACCCCAATTATGAAAGTTTAGTTAGTAAGTAGAATGTAGGTAACTAACGAGCCCTGGTTTAATTATGTATGTAACGCAGTTGCTAACAATTTAGAAATAGATTCCAAATCAAGTTTTGTGATTGCCATTCATAAGTTTCTTACTATCGATACATATAAATAAAATTGGAGTGTCTGTTTGTAATATTGAAATAACCGTGCAAGCATATGCATATGAATATTAATACGGTACATACACCAAAATAACATTTTGTACAATTTTTGTCTGTCTGTCTGTTTGTTTCGACTAATGTCTGAAATGCCTGGACCGATTTTTACGGGACTTTTTTTTGGCAGGTAGCTGATGTAATAAGGAGTAACTTAGGCTACTTTTATTTTAGAAAAAATCTATTTATTTAGAAATATAAAGTTAAATTCAATGCGGCCGAAGTCGCGAGTACAGCTAGTTATTAATGTAGTTTTAACACGAATAATTTTATCGTAAATAAATGTACCTGATTGGCTAAATTCACCCACATGAAATTATATAGCCTTGTGTCATTCTGAGCTATTTTTCTGTAAAGTTTCATAAAAATCCGTTCAGTAGTTTTTTGAACATCCATCCATTCGTACTCACAAACTTTGGCGTTTATAATATTAGTAAGATGTAACAGTTGCAATACGGGTGTTGGTTTTTCATTAGAGGGTTGAATCCCTCAAGTAAAAACTCTAAAAGTATATATATCCATTTGTTACAATGATCAATTGTTAGCAACTACTTTACATAATAGAGCAGACCGGATGAATTTTTAATTTTAAGTAAATATAATTTGATTAATCAATAATTTTTGCAAAGCTCAAATTTCAAACGTTGTGCCATATTTAAAAATTAACGTATAATTTGTTGTGAGTTTTCGAATAGCTCCGTATAAATACGGTTAGTGCGTACACGCGAATCAGTTTAACGGTTTTGCATTTGTAGTGGAAGTCACTAAAACCGGAAACCGGAATAAAGCAGTTATCGTTAGCAAACATGTGCACTACACTCTCCCATCAGTTGGTTGCTAATACTCTTGGAATACGAAATAAACTTATTTTCGTTTAAATAGTTAATTGTTTTTATTACTAGATTTGAAGAAATTCAGAGTTAAATATTCACTATATACACTATAAGTGGCCTTCAAGAATAGAGCTTATTCCTTCCGTTCCGTTGTCGAAAATAATGCTACGTTTACATTCAACCGCTACCCCTGCCACTCGCGCTGCTAGAAATATTGCCGGGCGAAAACTGAGCGAGAGGGCTGAATGTAAAAACACGCTGCCACTCTCGCTGCCAGTTCTTTGACTCGCGCACGAAAAACCGACAATCGAGTGGCAGCGCCAATGGCATGGGAAGTGTTTCCACTCGTGTTTACACTCTCGCGCTGCTCACTTCCCTGCCCACTCGGGCTGAGTGTAAATTGGGCATTGGAATGTAATATAAAAGGTATTCGTGTATATGTTCATGTTCTATCTCATATCTTATCTACTCACCATACTCTATTACAAATGCAAAACCGTGTTTTAGTTTATTTTCCCGTACATATCCTATGTACTAAAGCGGCCAGTTGTGAAAGAGGTTGTGCATTCTTGTGAAGCGTGTAAACAAATTGAGATGTATTGATATACGTTAGGAATTATAAAATTAATTGTTTTTTTTTATAATTGTGAAGAATATATATGTTAGATATATCAACTCTATGTACTAGTAAAAGTATGTATTATAATAAAATAACAACTATATAACATTAATTTAACTATGTCTAACACAATTCACTTTAGCATTTAAAATACAACCAGCGCATCCTGTGCTCAAAGACCGAATGCCGTGGCTTACAAAAACCTTCCCTTATATACAGAGAAGATATGAAGATATCAAGTTGCAATGCAGATAATCTGGGCCGTAAAACAATAGACTGGACACCAATATGGCATATGGTCTTTGGGACTGAGGATATGCATCAGGATAGCCCCGACATAGCATATTGTAGAAAGCAGTTGGGGCAGATTTGAGCAGGTTCGCATCTGGGTAAATGTGTTTTTATCTTTGTCCCTATATGTTTTGACAAAACTTCTTTGCAAATTCAAATTTTGACAAAACATGAAAAAAAGATGAGTCAAAATTGTAAACTAACTTCAAATAGGTAATCTATATTCACATTTATCTCAATTTGTTTATAAGCTTATTATTAACACGATGTTTGGTATCCTTTTAAGTGAATCTCGTTTGATATATAATTTAAAGTTGTGACATTAGCTCGAATATAAACACACCGGTGTAACGATCTCTATCATGTTTTAGAAATTAAGATTGTTTCAAAAGAAAATATATTATTTACAATTTTTTCGACATGAGTTGCAAGTACAAAATATGAATACAAAAAACTTAATGTTCATAAGCGACTAAGATGTACTGTATGAAATATATTTTTTTAAATAATAATTATAATAATCTCAGAACAATTCACACAGTGCCATCTAGACCTAAGTTAAGCTAGCTAAAGCTTGTGTTGTAGGTACTAGATGACTGATACAAATACATAGATTTTTTTTCGTAAATACGTACATATTATACGTAGAAAATAACCAGACCGATACAAACAATCATACTCATGAATGTTTTGTGCCGTGCGAGGAATCGAAGCCGCGACCATCGGAAGTGAGGCGGTGTGCTAAACCACTAGATCACCGAGGCCGTCAATACAATTTCTTTATCCTTAAAACATACAAGCTATATATATAGTACACAAATACCGACTTAAACTGAACTATGTACTTACTTTTTACTCATAAGACTTATTATACAGTCATTCACATATACTTTGGTTGTAAACGCTCATATTGCGAGGTATGTACATGCTTCCATTGATTTCTTATAAATATAACATCCATTACGGTTCATATCCGGCTCGAAGGACCATATAGTTGTACGGCTTTGTTATAGTACACATCTAATTTAATATACCAATAATTAAAAAAGTCGAAGTTTACACACTAATATGTTTTTTTCTTAAATGGTAATTAATGGTAACATGAGCGATGGTACTGGTAGATGAACACACGCAGTATGTTTGGTGACCAAACGTGAACTAATTTCAGTAATGACTTCTAGACGCATAATGAAAATAATGTCGACCGCGTATAAGTACCAAGTACCTAAACCATACTCTAATGGTATTTTCAGTTTGTTATTGGATATATTCTTTTTAATGTTTCGATAAATTGTCTAGTTAAATGTAGACCTTTCTAGTTCAGGAGTTAAGAGGCTCTTAACAATCCCCCGCAGGGAGCAAGCCGTCATTTTTACAGCGTGTACATATCGACTGCATATCACTGTTCTTGCAAAAACATAATATATATTATTCTGAACGTATTCGATGTAGAGAATAGCCCGAAATGTAATATACAATATAAAAATAATATATAATAAATCTTAGATTATTTATATTCTTAACCGGGTCTTAACACGAATCATTTTATGGCAAATAAATGTATTTACCTCTCTCGACGTATCGACTAAGGTGAGAGAGAGGTAAATATCTTTGTCTTTATTCAAATTTTGCATGAATACAGTAAAAAGGCATATTACATCGCTGCCTGCTGATATCATCACTGTCGCTTAATTGTTTACTTATCTTATCTGTAATGCAAATACGACTTACATACTTACATAAAATTATTTGTGTTAAGGTATTTACCTCTCACAGCCTAGTCGAAATGTCGAGAGGTAAATACCTTTATTTGCCATAAAATTATTCGTGTTAAGACCCGGTTAACAATATAAATAATGTATGTTAAACACAGAAGTTTAAAAATAACTAAAATATTAGTTGTCAAATTATAACAAAACCAACCCAATTGTAGTGTCATAATAAATATGTATACGTATATGAAAATTAGTTATTAAAACCGAAATTTAATCCGAATTTTAGCTTTCGTTCCCGACATTTTGGGGAAACCAAAGTTATATTTCTAAAAAGCTCTCTCCTTTTATAGAATTTATTCTTCACGAGCAGGTACTTTTAAAATTGTAAATTTATAAAATGTAGCCCAAATACTATTTTCTATTAATAATAATAATAATATAATAGTTTTAATTACTGATAATAAATTGTAATTTTTTTAAGTATTGTTCGTTTTCGAGAACAACTATACACCAATTCTGGACTGGAACTGATCGAAAATTAATTGTAAAATATATGAATACTGTTTTTAGAATATTGTAATTTTCGGACGAATGAAAGTAATCGCCAATGTTGGACCGAAACTGGTCGAAATTAAGTTGATACAATAAATTTATGAACAAATTGTGACTTAGTAGTAAAATGAAACTTGTAGCATTAAGTACAATAGATTAAGGACTTTTAAATAAAACTTACGTGAACAAATAACTGTTTATTATTTATATTACAAACTTTTGTTACAAATTTGTGATATTACATTTTCTTTTATATTATTATGTAATATTGGTAATATTAACATGATTTTTATTATTGATACTACTTTAATCATCACTGGACCGTCTACGGTCGGTTTATTGGTCCTTTTTATTATATTTAATTGGAAAAGATATATAATAGAACTAAGGACAAATCACACAGCGCTACCTAGTCTCAAGCTAAGCAGAGCTTGTGTTATGGGTACTAGACAACTGATATAAATACATGGATACATTTTTTAAAATAAATACATATTATACATAGAAAACGCCCAGACCGATACAAACAATCATACTCATGAATACAAATGTTTGTATCGTGCGAGGAATCGAACCAGCGACTACCGAAGTTGTCATAAATAAGAAAAATATAGTTGTATTAATTGTAAAATAATATTTGCATACCACAATAAACATAGAATTGAAATATCTAATTGTAGTATATAAAAAAATTCTTATTCAATGTGTTTGCGCGTATTATTCAACGCGTAGATTTATTTCTAGATCTATCTAGATCTATCTATCTAGATCAGTGATTCTGAACTACTGTACCACGTAATTTTAAGTATGTGCCCTCAATTTTTAGATATACAATTATTCTTATCTTTATTTTGAAAATTTTGAAATCAATAAAGAATGCAAAAATGATGCGGTTGGGGAAAATGTCAGATCTATATGCTCGTTTAGTAGAACTCGTCGTGGTTCGTATTCTTGGTGGTTTGGTTCTTGACCTGGTCCTGTGCAAGATACATCTCTACGAGCTGCTGCGCGCTCGTCGCCTGCTCCGGTGTCTTATCATCACGCTCGCGGATGAATCTGGAAAGGAGAAAGTTTATATGAACTAATTACTCCATCGCTAGCATGTATCAAGTCAAGTTGATCTCCACTCATTTTTCTCTGGAAACTATCGTGATCAATTTCTGGCGAATTTGTCACGATGGGCTAACTGACCTGATCTCATCCTCCACTTGTGCCCCGCCAACGTAAACCGTTAGCGGAGACGGATGTACCATTCCGGTATCAATTAAACATCTGCGTGTATCCGTTTATCAGGTAACCGTTTACCATCAGATGGGCCGTATGATTATTTGTTACCTACGTAGTATAAAAAAAAATTCAGCTGGCAAGCAGCTTATTTTAGGAACAGAGTTTCTATTTGGTGCGCGGCGGACTGCGACAGTCCGCGGCGGACAGTGTGGGCCGGCCGTTACCTGGGGAACCTGAGCGACAGTCCGCGGTCGGGGTGCAGCGCCCCGCGCGCGGCGCGGTGCGCGGCGGACTGCGACAGTCCGCGGCGGACTGTGTGGGCCGGCCGTTACCTGGGGAACCTGAGCGACAGTCCGCGGTCGGGGTGCAGCGCCCCGCGCGCGGCGCGGTGCGCGGCGGACTGCGACAGTCCGCGGCGGACTGTGTGGGCCGGCCGTTACCTGGGGAACCTGAGCGACAGTCCGCGGTCGGGGTGCAGCGCCCCGCGCGCGGCGCGGTGCGCGGCGGACTGCGACAGTCCGCGGCGGACTGTGTGGGCCGGCCGTTACCTGGGGAACCTGAGCGACAGTCCGCGGTCGGGGTGCAGCGCCCCGCGCGCGGCGCGGTGCGCGGCGGACTGCGACAGTCCGCGGCGGACTGTGTGGGCCGGCCGTTACCTGGGGAACCTGAGCGACAGTCCGCGGTCGGGGTGCAGCGCCCCGCGCGCGGCGCGGTGCGCGGCGGACTGCGACAGTCCGCGGCGGACTGTGTGGGCCGGCCGTTACCTGGGGAACCTGAGCGACAGTCCGCGGTCGGGGTGCAGCGCCCCGCGCGCGGCGCGGTGCGCGGCGGACTGCGACAGTCCGCGGCGGACTGTGTGGGCCGGCCGTTACCTGGGGAACCTGAGCGACAGTCCGCGGTCGGGGTGCGGCGCCCCGCGCGCGGCGCGGTGCGCGGCGGACTGCGACAGTCCGCGGCGGACTGTGTGGGCCGGCCGTTACCTGGGGAACCTGAGCGACAGTCCGCGGTCGGGGTGCAGCGCCCCGGACAGTCAGCGCCCCGCGCGCGGCGCGCGGCGGGGTGCGGCCGTTACCTGGGGAACCTGAGCGCGCGCGGCGCGCCCCGCGCGCGCGGCGGACTGCGACAGTCCGCGGCGGACTGTGTGGGCCGGCCGTTACCTGGGGAACCTGAGCGACAGTCCGCGGTCGGGGTGCAGCGCCCCGCGCGCGGCGCGGTGCGCGGCGGACTGCGACAGTCCGCGGCGGACTGTGTGGGCCGGCCGTTACCTGGGGAACCTGAGCGACAGTCCGCGGTCGGGGTGCAGCGCCCCGCGCGCGGCGCGGAGCGCGGCGGACAGAGACCTGTCCGCGGCGGACTGTGTCGGCCGGCCGTTACCTGGGGAACCTGAGCGACAGTCCGCGGTCGGGGTGCAGCGCCCCGCGCGCGGCGCGGTGCGCGGCGGACTGCGACAGTCCGCGGCGGACTGTGTCGGCCGGCCGTTACCTGGGGAACCTGAGCGACAGTCCGCGGTCGGGGTGCAGCGCCCCGCGCGCGGCGGACTGCGACAGTCCGCGGCGGACTGTGTGGGCCGGCCGTTACCTGGGGAACCTGAGCGACAGTCCGCGGTCGGGGTGCAGCGCCCCGCGCGCGGCGCGCGGCGCGGTGCGCGGCGGACTGCGACAGTCCGCGGCGGACTGTGAGGGCCGGCCGTTACCTGGGGAACCTGAGCGACAGTCCGCGGTCGGGGTGCAGCGCCCCGCGCGCGGCGCGGTGCGCGGCGCGTCCGACGGCGGACTGTGTCTGTGTGGGCCGGCCGTTACCTGGGGAACCTGAGCGACAGTCCGCGGTCGGGGTGCAGCGCCCCGCGCGCGGCGCGGTGCGCGGCGGACTGCGACAGTCCGCGGCGGACTGTGTGGGCCGGCCGTTACCTGGGGAACCTGAGCGACAGTCGCGCGGGGTGCAGCGCCCCGCGCGCGGCGCGGTTCGCGGCGGACTGCGACAGTCCGCGGCGGACTGTGTGGGCCGGCCGTTACCTGGGGAACCTGAGCGACAGTCCGCGGTCGGGGTGCAGCGCCCCGCGCGCGGCGCGGTGCGCGGCGGACTGCGACAGTCCGCGGCGGACTGTGTGGGCCGGCCGTTACCTGGGGAACCTGAGCGACAGTCCGCGGTCGGTCGGGGTGCAGCGCCCCGCGCGCGTCGGGGTGCAGCGCCCCGCGCGCGGCGGACTGCGACAGTCCGCGGCGGACTGTGTGGGCCGGCCGTTACCTGGGGAACCTGAGCGACAGTCCGCGGTCGGGGTGCAGCGCCCCGCGCGCGGCGCGGTGCGCGGCGGACTGCGACAGTCCGCGGCGGACTGTGTGGGCCGGCCGTTACCTGGGGAACCTGAGCGACAGTCCGCGGTCGGGGTGCAGCGCCCCGCGCGCGGCGCGGTGCGCGGCGGACTGCGACAGTCCGCGGCGGACTGTGTGGGCCGGCCGTTACCTGGGGAACCTGAGCGACAGTCCGCGGTCGGGGTGCAGCGCCCCGCGCGCGGCGCGGTGCGCGGCGGACTGCGACAGTCCGCGGCGGACTGTGTGGGCCGGCCGTTACCTGGGGAACCTGAGCGACAGTCCGCGGTCGGGGTGCAGCGCCCCGCGCGCGGCGCGGTGCGCGGCGGACTGCGACAGTCCGCGGCGGACTGTGTGGGCCGGCCGTTACCTGGGGAACCTGAGCGACAGTCCGCGGTCGGGGTGCAGCGCCCCGCGCGCGGCGCGGTGCGCGGCGGACTGCGACAGTCCGCGGCGGACTGTGTGGGCCGGCCGTTACCTGGGGAACCTGAGCGACAGTCCGCGGTCGGGGTGCAGCGCCCCGCGCGCGGCGCGGTGCGCGGCGGACTGCGACAGTCCGCGGCGGACTGTGTGGGCCGGCCGTTACCTGGGGAACCTGAGCGACAGTCCGCGGTCGGGGTGCAGCGCCCCGCGCGCGGCGCGGTGCGCGGCGGACTGCGACAGTCCGCGGCGGACTGTGTGGGCCGGCCGTTACCTGGGGAACCTGAGCGACAGTCCGCGGTCGGGGTGCAGCGCCCCGCGCGCGGCGCGGTGCGCGGCGGACTGCGACAGTCCGCGGCGGACTGTGTGGGCCGGCCGTTACCTGGGGAACCTGAGCGACAGTCCGCGGTCGGGGTGCAGCGCCCCGCGCGCGGCGCGGTGCGCGGCGGACTGCGACAGTCCGCGGCGGACTGTGTGGGCCGGCCGTTACCTGGGGAACCTGAGCGACAGTCCGCGGTCGGGGTGCAGCGCCCCGCGCGCGGCGCGGTGCGCGGCGGACTGCGACAGGTCCGCGGCGCGCACCTCCCACACTCGCGCCGCCTCGAACCACGCGTCCGGACGGTGCGCACTGTCGAACCTAAAAAAAAATGGGGAAGTATAAATTTGGGGGAGAATATCAGGGAAAGGTAAGGAGACTCAGCCCATACAGTCATTCTATAATATAGTAATTGTTAAGAATTAAAAATATTTTTTCGGAAAAACCAAGGCTATTTACAACCATTGATTGTACAAATAAATAAATAAAATAAAAATATATGTCAACAATGATAACCAATACTGTCTTTGTCTTCGGTAGTGTCACAATACTTTGTTTCTTTTCTGTTTTGTCTCTCAGAGACAAATTTGATTTGCCCATTGATATGGTATTGATATCACCTAGTACCCATAACACAAGCTCTGTTTACCATCAGACTAGATGGCGCTGTGTTAATTGTCCAAAGTAAAAAAAACCTGTAAAATTGGCGTCAATTAATATAATTATTATTTAAACTAACCTGTAGTAATTCCTGGGCGTATCGATGACATGTTCGTTGAGAGCCGCACTCAACTTCTGCAGGTCCTCATCTGAGAAGCCGGTGCCGATCTTGCACAGCGACTGGTACTCCTCGGTGTGGGGGTCGTAGCAGGCCAGTAAGAACCCGCCGTAGACACCTGCGCGCCTGCCTTTCCCGTGGTAACCGCCGATAACGACCACGTCTACCGAATCTCCGCACCCTTCTAAGTAGTCTTTCTTGAGCTGTGTATAATGTTTAACACATTATATAGATATCACATTTTTTATTGAGGATTTTGGGTCATTGTCAGATGGTAAGATCTATAACACTGCGACCTGCATAGATCTATTATGTGCGCCTTTTTCCAATGTTCTCTACCTGGACCCGTCAGGGACAAGAATCGAAGGATATTCTTAGGAGCGATGGTTTTTATTTCCTCAGGATAGAGTGTATACTTTCCAAATGAGATACACAGTCTGCTTCACGATTACTTTTTTACTGATACCATATTTCATCCACCACAACTTTGTATGCTGTATTTCGGTTGCAGAGTGCAGATGTAGCAGTGCAATTACAAGATTTTTTTATAGCAAAGGGGACAAACGGTTTGCGGTTCACCTGACAGTAAGTGATTACCGCCGCCCATGAGTACCCGCAACGTCAGGGGAATTGCAAGTGCATTGCCGGCCTTTTAAGAAGGTATAAGCTCTTTTCTTGAAGAATTCAATATCGTATCGGTTCGGAAATACCATTGCTGGGAGGTGATTCCAATAACGGTAACCGTTTACCATCGGGGCAATAGGGGCTCTTAGTAACGTGGATTAATGATTGACCCATTGCTGTATATACCTGTAATGTTAGATTGAACATCACGCGGTTCCCCCTGAAAACCATGTTCCTGGTGAATTTGTTACCATGAGCTAATTGATTGGACCTCATGCTCATCTTATCATTCTCTACTCGTGCCCCGCCAGCGTAAACCGTTGCAGGCGGGTTCACCGTTACATTATTATAATTAAAAAGAACCGTTTACCATCAGATGGGCCGTATGTTTGCCTGGTAAAAAAAAGTTACCTTAAGCCAGTTGTGTGACCGCCGCGCGATGTCGTACCGCGCGTTCTCCCCCGTCAGCATCTTCACCATGAGACCCTCACAGGAGCCGCGGATGGCCTCATCGAGGAACTGCTGCACCTCCTCCATGGTGGTGCAGTCCTTGGAAGTCGCGAACTGCCACTCACCTGGTTCAATAAGGGGCCATCCATAAATTACGAAAATTTAATTAGGGACCGTCATAAATTACGTCAATTTGATAAGGGGCAATCATAAATTATTTCAATTTAATAAGGAGGAATCATAAATAATGTCAATGTAATAAGGAGCCATCAAAATATGTCAATTTATTAAGAGGCTAAATTATGTTAATTTAATAAGGAGCCATAATCTATAATATATATCACTTATGTCAGTGCAATAAGCAGCCATCATAAATTTCGTCAATATGATAAGAGACAATAATAAAGTATGTCAATTTAATAAGGAGCCATCATAATTTATGTCAATTTAATAAGCGGCCATCGTAAATTACGTCACTACGATAAGGGACAATCATAAATTATGTCAATTTAATAAGGGGCCATCATATATTATGTCAATTTAATAAGAAGCCATTATAAATTATGTCAATTTAATAAGTGGCCATCATAAATTATGTCAATGTAATAAGTGGCCATCATAAATTACGTCACAATGATAAGGGTCAATCATAAATTATGTCAATTTTATAAGGGGCCATTATAAATTATGTCAATTTAATAAGAAGCCATAATAAATTACGTCACTATGATAAGGGTAATTCATAAATTTTACAATTTAATAAGGGGCCATCATAAATTATGTCAATTTAATAAGAAGCCCTCATAAATTATGTCAGTTTAATAAGCGGCCATCATAAATTACGTCAATGTGATAAGGGTCATTCATAAATTATGTCAATTTAATAAGAAGCCGTCATAAATTATGTCAATTTAATAAGAATCCATTATAAATTACGTCACTATGATACGGGTCAATAATAAATTATGTCAATTTAATATGGGGCCATCGTAAATTATGTCAATTTAATAAGAAGCCATTATAAATTATGTCAATTTAATAAATGGCCATCATAAATTATGTCAATGTAATAAGTGGCCATCATGAATTACGTCACTATAATAAGAGTCAATCATAAATTTTTCAATTTAATAAGGGGCCATCATAAATTATGTCAATTTAATAAGAAGCCCTCATAAATTTTGTCAGTTTAATAAGCGGCGATCATAAATTACGTCTATGTGATAAGGGTCATTCATAAATTATGTCAATTTAATAAAAAGCCGTCATTAATTATATCAATTTAATAAGAAGCCATTATAAATTACGTCACTATGATAAGGGTCAATGATAAATTATGTCAATTTAATATGGGGCCATCGTAAATTATGTCAATTTAATAAGAAGCCATCATAAATTAAGTCAATTTAATAAGAAGCCATTATAAATTATTTCAATTTAATAAATGGCCCTCATAAATTATGTCAATGTAATAAGTGGCCATCATGAATTACGTCACTATGATAAGGGTCAATCATAAATTATGTCAATTTAATAAGGGGCCATCATAAATTATGTCAATTTAATAAGAAGCCAACATAAATTATGTCAATTTAATAAGAAGCCATCATAAATTATGTCAGTTTAATAAGGGGCCATCATAAATTATGTCAATTTAATAAGAAGCCATCATAAATTACGTTACTATGATAAGGGTCAATCATAAATTATGTCAATTTAATAAGGGGCCATCATAAATTATGTCAATTTGGTAAGGGACATTGATAAATTATGTCAATGAAAAATTGTAGTAAAATGATAACAATTTACCAGTTTCAGTTTCATTTTTTCCTTTATATTCACCTAATTACCTATCTGCATGCCAAATTTGAACTACCTAGGTCATCTGGAAGTGGGTTATAATTTTGATCTATAGTTGATCAGTGATAAAAATGACGATTTTTGGACATTAATATCTAAATAACCGTTTGAGATATGTTTATGAAATTTGGAACACATATTTATCTCGCAAGTCTCAATATATGAACCAAATTTGACAGGTTTGTGTGAAAGAGTTTTTGAGTTATGAGGGGGTCAAAAGTGGCTCCAAATTGTTCGTGTAAATATACACACGGTGCTGCTTGCCAGTTTACTTGAAACTCGGCTTGATACGCTACCGCGTGTCTAAATATATAGTACTACGTACCAGGAACTTCGTTGAAGTGTTCCCGCAGCATATCCCGTCTCCTCCCGAGCGGCTCCGTAACGAGCGCGCGCCCGTTTAGGTACAGCACGTCGAACACGAACAAGCACACCTGCACTTTGATATCTTCTTCGCGGGCATCCTTACGTTTACGGGTCGATAGTACCTATTTTTTATTTATAACACTATTAGTAGGGAAAACTATTAAATAATTTCATATCCGCATCCGGTATAATAATCATTCCTACATCCGAAAACTATCCGTATCCGAAATTTCATATCCATAACATCCCTGCCTATAAGCACTGTGTTCTGTATGGGACACAGTTACCTAATAATGGCTAGTAAGACAAATTCAATACTGTCTACTAAGCACGGCCGTGTTTAAACTGTGTCACCGCACCTTACATTTTCCTATTGTTATTGTTGTTCTTCTATCTAAATATATATAACTCAAAGGTGACTGACATAGTGATCTATCAACGCACAGCCCAAACCACTGGACGGATCGGACTGAAATTTGGCATGCAGGTAGATGTTATGACGTAGGCATCCGCTAAGATAGGATTTTGATCAATTCTACTCCCAAGGGGATAAAATAAGGGATGAAAGTTTGTATGAAACTTTGTCAACTTTAAACCGATCGGGCTGAGACTTTGCATGCATAAAGCTACTATGACGTAAGCATCCCCTAAGAAAGGATTTTGATAAATTCGAACCCTAAGGCGATAACTTAAGCGAGTGAAGCCGCGGGCAAAAGCTAATTTAGTATATAAGACCAATATTTTAGGTACATTTGTCAGTATATTATCATCTGTAATATACATCGTCTCAACCGACAACATCCTAATATTATCAGGGATGTTATGGATATGAAATTTCGGATCCTACATCCGAAACCTATCCGTTTCGGATGTAGGAATGATTATTATACGGCTTCGGATAGGAAATTATTTCGGTTCATCCGTTAGTTTCGGATAATTTCGGTTACGTAACGTGTCTTAATTAGGCTCGGCCCCTATTCGATATTATCCGAAACTTGTATTTCGGATTCGGTTACTAATATTCTTTTATATCGGATATCCGATAGTTTCGGTTACGGTTACAGAGCTCCCTAACATCCCTGATTATTATCTCGCAACATTCTGCAAATTTATTATTTGAATTGTATTGAATTGAATTTGAACTATAAACATCAGACCTGGAACGGTAGTATCTGCTTGTTGACGGTGTCGTATGCGACCGCCTCGCAGTCCAGCACGCAGCTGGTGACCGTCGGCTTTAACAGCGATGGTAGCCGACGGAGCACGTCTGGATACTTCCTGTAGGGTGGTAACAGTTTAAGAGTCTATGACGGAATAGTCATCCCGTTTAGACCCGTGGTAGCATAGTGGTTTAATACTTTGAATTACGCTTTAGAGATCGTGTATTCAGTTCCAGTTAAAACTTTGTGCATCATACATTGGGGGGAAGAGGATTGTTATATAATGTAAACTGATGATTGATGACATATTGTAATTTAAATAATGTAAATTAAATATTGTAATGGGTGAAAACTGTGATTGGTACAGTTTATGCTGTAAATAATATAAATGACGTAGTGGAGTAACTTGAAACAGTCATGCTCGCTATATAGTTCAAACTTGTGGCGGCGTGGTGGGCCGGGTCGATGTGCTCCCTCTAATATGGTTGAGTGCAATGATGGCTGGCTCATCCGTCATACTCGTGTACGGGTGCTGCTTGTGGGGACTGGTCTGTTCAGGTTGCGAACACTGATTAGATTTTTTGATTTTTTTGATGATATTTTTTTTTATATAGCATATGCTGGTGGTCACTCTATTCTCCCAAATTTGAATTTAAATGAAATAGTATTATTATAAATATGTACAACATTAAAAAAAAAAAAATACGAGCTGAGTTTCTTGTCAGTTCTTCTCATCTCGAAATCATTCCGAATTGACGGTAGATTTGACATATCATAAGAGTCTGTAATAGACCTACATGAATAAAGATATTTTGAATTTGAATTTGAATTTGAATTTGATTGTATTGCAAGCAATGTACCATATCTCCCTGGAAACCATCGTGGTAAATTCCTGGTGTATTTGTCACGATGGGTTAACTGACCTGACCTCATGCTCATCTTATCATCCTCCACTGGTGACCCGTCAGCGTAAACCGATAGCGCAGGCGGGTACACAAGTTCATTATAATATAGTAGCTACTCGCCCCGGCTTCGCCCAGGTGTACATGTAATATACATATACATAATTCCACACATATACAATCAAATTTGCAAACTAATATGATATGAAACACTCTCAGTTATCAGGTTTAAAAACACTCCTCAACAGTATACTGATGTCCTGGACATATGAGGACACTGAGAAAATACTAAAACCCGTAATATAAATTTAGACAATTCTGAAATATTCTAATGATTCTATATGAATTTACAACACTTCCAAATAACATTCTTACTCACTCAAACACACACACACACACACACTCACACGTACACACATACACACACACACTCGCCGACTAACAAATACATATCTGTAATTTTTATTATTGTATTCTCGCCAGGGATCAATGTCATATAATCAATTAAAGTGAAAAATTGTAGTAAAATGATAACAATTTTTTATTTTATTTTTTGTCATATATTATTAGTATTAATATTATATAAACACAAAATTTTTATATGCACTCTGATCGCCGTACCAATGTAACGTTAACTGTCAAACCTGCTTTGATTTCCACGATACAGGCATTGCCTAGTGTGGGGTCATAGTTACAATGTTACATATAGTTATATTTTATGAAATAAATGTTATTCTTATTCTTATATAAATCTTCCTCTTGGATCACTCTATCTATTAAAAAAGTCCGCTTCAAAATCTGTTGCGTAGTTTTAAAGATTTAAGCATACATAGGGACGGACAGACAGCAACCGCGACTGTTTTATACTACATATGTAATGATTAAAATATACATATATTCTGACTAAATAATAATAATATCTCTCTGGACAATTCACATTTTATTACTTTTAATCTATGTATTGCGTAAGTTTAATCCTTGATGAGTGCATTGGTATTATACTGTGAGTGTCATCTGCATGGGTGCCCCTCGATCGTTCGTTCGTCCGATGAAGCTGGAAAGACCAGCTGCGGCCAACAGCATTAGAGTAGTCCGAAAAAAACTAGAGACAGCATGGTTACTTACGTGGTGTTGTTCTCCTGGTTCCGGCTGAAGATGGCGGCTTCCTGCAGCCGAGGCTCTTCATCTCCGGGCACGTGAAGCTGCGCCCGTTCTCCGTCGTACTTCCACTCGCACGTGAACTGCTCGTTTTCGAACCTGGTTATAAACAATTGTATCATCTTAATTTTAATAATATTATGAACTCGAAAGTTTATAAGTATGGATGTTTGTTACTCTTTCACGTAAAAACTACTAAACGAATTTTGACGAAACTTTACAGTTATATAGCTTATGTATTAGAATAACATATAGGCTATATTTTTTATTGAAGTTAGTTAATCTATCGTGGTAAATTCACCATTAATTTTTATCTTAATTTTTCACGGTATATATGTATATCACGGTGGTTTCCAGGTATATTAGCAATGGGGTTTTTAGTTCACATTACTAACAACCCTTCGGGGGTTAGGGTAGGTTAGGTTTAGGGATTGTTAGTAATGTGGACAAGTAACCCTATTGCTGATAAGTTACCATGTCAGGTTAACCATGCTTGTTTAATTTGCAGTGTCCTGTGAGGGCCCTAGTCATCATGCATATGTTGTTTTTACTCAATAGCGGTAGTCTATTGGAGTATTTGGTCAAGAAGCCCGATATTAGGTCTTTTGAATGTGTTAATCCTGGCATTTTTTCTTGCCAGTGATTCAGTGTAAATTCTCATTTGGTTATTAATTTGATATGTTCCAGTTTTAGGCAATGGGGGCACACCACAGAAGGGTTAGGGGGCCCAGTTGGACTGTTTTTGCCCCTAACTCTCTCCTGAAAACCATCGTGATAAATTCATGGTGAATTTACCACGATAGGCTAACTGATCTAACTAAACGTTATCATCCTCCACTGCTGCCCCGCCAGGGTAAACCTTTAGCGCAAGCGTTCACCATTCCATTATCATTCATAAAAACGCTGTCTAAGTCCAGAGTCACTAGTATGATCACACATCGTCACCTGTCGAAGATTTGATGTACTCCTCGCGTGGGGTGCGCCAGCATGGGCTTGAGCGGAGTCCCCGGAGTGAGGCGACAGTGCTGCGGCAGGGAGCCGACGCCGTGCTGCAGCAGCGCCGGCACCACGCGCCCGTAGTCCGGACACTCGCAGTACGTCGTCTTTATCAACAGGGCGTGCTCGTCCACTCGTGCCTGGGACAAACGAATATACACTTTATTAGATGTAACTAGCTTAAAAGCTAGAATTTTTTTTAATAGCTACTTTTTTATAAATAAAAGTATATCATCATCTGCTTCTTCCTTATCCCATTTATTTGTGGTCGACGTAATATATTTTTCTCTTCCATTCATCACTATTCGCAGTCATCTCGTTATTTACTCCCTTTCTTATATCATCTTTCACACAGTCATCTCTTCTTCCTTATCCCATTTATTTGTGGTCGACGTAATGTATTTTTCTCTTCCATTCATCACTATTCGCAGTCATCTCGTTATTTACTCCCTTTCTTATATCATTTTTCAGACAGTCATCTATCTTTTTCGGCCTTTCTCTACCCTTATAACCATCCACATTCATTTGTAACACCTTCCTTAAAATATTATCTTCATTCCTACGCAATACATGCCCATACCATGATAGACGATCACTCTTCAATTTCTCCGACACCGACGCCACTTTCATACCTCTAAAGTATTAATTCCTTATCTTATCCATTCTTCTCACAAAAATATAATATACTGTTAGCTGTAACTACCGCTGGAGGCGCCAGTTTGTTCCGGCTAATCTCTGAAATGGCTGGACCGATTTTAACGGGACTTTTATTGGCAGGTAGCTGATGTAATAAGGAGTAACTTAGGCTACTTTTATTTCAGAAAAATAAAGTAAAATTTATGGACGAAGTCGCGGGTACAGCTAATAAATAAATAAATGTTAGACCTACCTTGAATACCTCTGCAGACAGTCCCTTGGACGCGTCCAGCACCTCCACACCGTCAGGGTTTGGTGGCGTTGTAGCGGTCGCTACTGCCAATGCTTGCAGCACTGATTGCTCCGCCAAACCGATGCGAAGTTTCCCTTCCAGCGATCTGATCATAAGCACAAAAGAGCGCATAACATTAATACTAGACTCAAAGACAAACTTGCTCTTCCTAAGTATCGTTTAGAAAAATCAATGGGTCTTTTATGGGAATGGATATAAAATTTTACACCATTAAATGAAATTGTACATGGCTTTTTTTATACTACGATGGTGGCAATAAAGCATACGGCCCATCTGATGGTAAATGGTTACCGTAGCCTATGAACGCCTGAAACACCAGGGGTGTGATGTGCACGTCGCCGACCCATAAGAAACCTAAATATACTTGAAAAACCTAGCTATAGTACCAAGCACGTATCGTGTCATTTAAGTAATCGTTTAGTGAGTAATAAGGTTTTGTTCAATAAAAATGATCACGCAAAAACTATTGAATGGATTTTGATGCAACTAACTTCAAAATATAGCTTATAAATCAGAATAACATAGGCCAAGGCTTCCCAAACTGTGCGTTGCAACGTCCCAGCGCGTCGCGGCGTTGTCTACGGGGCGTCGAGTGTCGATGCGACATTGCTTTTCTGCAATTGCAGTAATTACAGGTCAAAGATAGACTTGAAATGAAATTAGAGTAGCAATTTCTAAACTGGAGCCTGTTTTATAAGCTACGATCAGAAAGGCAAGCACACCCTTCACATTGACCAACCAGATACATAAATATCTCTTTTTAATTTTGTGCTTATGTCTTCTAATCTTATATATAAAATTCTCGTGTCACAGTTTTCGTTCCCATACTCCTCCGAAACGGCTTGACCGATTCTCATGAAATTTTGTGAGCGTATTGAGTAAGTCTGAGAATCGGCCAACATCTATTTTTCATCCCCCTAAATGTTAGGGGTAGTCCACCCCTAATCTTTTTTTTTATTTTAAGGCAATACAACGTTTGCCGGGACAGGTAGTAAAATTATAAATATTCAATTAGTGTTTTCCTGTTAACCTATACTAGAATGGGTAAGTATTTATGAAAGCTGGCCCAAGGGCGCCACAAGACGAATAAGTTTGGGATGCCCTGACATAGGCTATATATTACATGCAGGTGAAATCGCCGGCATAACTAGTCATCTATATGATCTATGGTAATTTATAAAGATTAATTTACCTTATTAAGTATTTTGCTTCACAATGCCTGCACGCCACAAATAGCGATTGTATCTTGGCGATTTTTTTATTGACTGACGCCTGACCTGTAAAATATATTTTTTTTATTGAAGCAATATAAATTGTTTAGAACGACGTTGTCCTTGAGTGGCGAATTTGGCGCCTAAATAGTTATTTGTTTTTTTTTTTTACGGAAACAATACAAATTGTGTAGAATGACGTTATACTTGTGGGCGGAGAACATACCGCCTAAAAAGTTACACCACGAACTTATCGGTTATATGCGCGATGTCCCTGAGTGAGGCGAAAATGGTGCCTAAAAAGTTATTTGTAACTAACATTCTCAGTAACTAGTTCTAACATTTTTGGAAGCGTCGGCAAACTTGAGTCGTGTTTTCCGACGCTTCCAAAAATGCTGAATGCCAATTCGAGAAAGCATGATTTGAGTTGAAATTTGAGTAATTATAATAATAATAATAATTTCAGGACAATTTACACAGCGCCATCTAGATTCAAGTTAAGCTAGCTAAAGCTTGTGTTATGGGTACTAGATAACTGATACATATATATAGATATTTTTTTTATAAATACATACATATTATACATAGAAAACACACAGACCGATACAAACAATCATACTCAAGAATACAAATGTTTGTACCATGCGATGAATTGAATCGAACTCGCGACCATCGGTCATAAAGTGGTGTGCTAACCGCTATTCCACCGAGGTCGTCATCGAAAACCTATCAACTAGAGTTGATAGGTTTTCGAGTTAGAACAAGACTGGTCTACCGGTTACGTGCGCGAAGACTCGTAACTCGAATCGTGTCTTTCTCGAGTTGCCCCATGATGAACTCACCGGTCATGTGCGCGATGTCCTTGAGCGCTGCGAACACTGCGGTGATCCACCTTTCAACTCGAGTCGTGTCTTTCCTGAGTTGCCCCATAATGAACTCACCGGTCATGTGCGCGATGTCCTTGAGCGCGTCGAACACTGCGGTGATCCACCTTTCAACTCGAGGTAACTCGTCTTCCCCGTCGTTCGAGTCTTTCCCGAGCTGTCCTATAATGAACTCACCGGTCATGTGCGCGATGTCCTTGAGCGCTGCGAACACTGCGGTGATCCACCTTTCAACTCGAGTCTCGAGGTAACTCGAGTCGTGTCTTTCCCGAGTAGTCCTATAATGAACTGACCGGTCATGTGCGCGATGTCCTTGAGCGCTGCGAACACTGCGGTGATCCACCTTTCAACTCGAGTCGTGTCTTTCCCGAGTAGTCCTATAATGAACTCACCGGTCATGTGCGCGATGTTCTCGAGCGCTGTGAACACTGCGGTGATCCACCTTTCAACTCGAGTCGTGTCTTTCCTGAGTTGCCCCATAATGAACTCACCGGTCATGTGCGCGATGTCCTCGAGCGCGGCGAACACTGCGGTGATCCACCTTTCAACTCGAGGTAACTTGTCTTCTCCGTCGTTCGAGTCTTTCCCGAGTAGTCCTATAATGAACTCACCGGTCATGTGCGCGATGTCCTCGAGCGCTGCGAACACTGCGGTGATCCACCTTTCAACTCGAGGTAACTTGTCTTCTCCGTCGTTCGAGTCTTTCCCGAGTTGTCTTATAATGAACTCACCGGTCATGTGCGCGATGTCCTCGATGTCTTTGAGCGCGCCGAACGGTCATGTGCGCGACTTGACTGCGGTGATCCACCACCTTTTTCAACTCGATGTCGTGTCTTTCTCGAGGTAACTCGTCTTTCCGTCGTTCCGAGTAGCCCGAGTAGTCCTATAATGAACTGACCGGTCATGTGCGCGATGTCCTTGAGCGCTGTGAACACCGCGCGCGCCCGCAGCGGGGGCGGCGGCCGCAGCGTGCGCTGCGTGGCGCGGGCGGCGGCGGCGGCGGCGCCGAGGTCCCCGGCCGCGCGCGCCGCCGCCCGCACCTGCGACACCGAGCGCCCGGTGCTCTGCCCCACCGCCTTCATCAGGTACGTCTCCGCGATGCCTGCCGGGCGTTACACTATTATATTTATTGACAGCCTCGGGGTATAGTGGTTTGGCGTACGGCTTTACTATTCGATAGTCACGGTTTTCATAGAAATAGAAGTAATCTTTTTTCAAATACACTTTTTAATAGTAATACTTTTGATTCTACGACTCATTCGGAACGCAGGTCACAAGAAGATATTGTCCGAGCTATGAATATTAAGTTTTACGAAAACATTATTATCATTAACGAACTTTTCAATTTTATAATATGCTTTTTTCGATAAAAAACATTTCTATTCATAATGTTCAAAAATACAGATGGGCATTTTTGAATATACCCTCTTTATCCTACCATGACGTTGGCAGTTGCCAAGACCACACCAAGCGACGCGACTTTCCTAACATATAGTTAAAAACAAGTGGTGACACTAAGTGTTTAACGAGTAAATTTTTTTTAACACCTACCCCAATTCGTGTTGAAGAACACTGAAACCCTCGGAGCATCGAAAGGTACGACTGACATAACCCTCACATGCTTCCACTTTCTCCCTAACACATAAGTGTGATTGTTTGTATCAGTCTGCAAAGTTTCATTAAAATCCATTCTTAGTAGTTTTTACGTGAAAGAACAATAAACATAAATCCTAGGATACAAACAAAGACGATTTCTTACAGTCTACTCTGACGTGATGAAGCTACAATAACTGCTACTGGCTTCAAGTAACTTACCAAGTTCCAAGCTATGATATGCGGGCGCTAACTGGTTCAAACACATGTAGATACTGGGCAGCAAGTCCTCGGGAGTCAGCGCTATCACCGAACGGAAGAAGTTGCTCAGTATCTCCACCATCTTTAGACGAGCTGATGTGGCTTCGATAGCTTCTAACGTCTTGGCCAGTGCAAGGTATGGAACCGCTTGTCCTTTGGTCCAGCAAGCATCATTGACTGGATGATATTTCGATTTGGCTGGATTGTAATCCTCTTCTGTGGAATCAAACTCAAATTCTTTATTTGGGAGGGAAGAGAATTGTTAATAATGTGGACTAATGATTCCATTGTTAGTAATGTATATAATATATATAATAGTTGACCTACTATAATAAAACAATTCAGTTTGCTGCAAATGTGTTGGCATTCCTAAGGACTAACTAATAGGACTAATTCCTAAGAATTATAAACTAAAAAACTATAATTTTATTGCAATAAAGCTAAAACAGCTTAGAAACCAAGCTACTTTGCAGCTGCAGAAAGTGAGACAAACAGAGATATGCATACAGATGAACGCTCTAAAGTGCAAACAACGTAAAAACCAAGCTGTTGGAAAGAGTGAGAGAGAGATACCCAGGATTATGAACTAAAAAACTATAATTTTACTGCAATAAAGCTAAAACAGCTTAGAAACCAAGCTACTTAGCAGCTGCAGAAAGTGAGACAGACAGAGATATGTATACAGATGAACACCCTAAAGTGCAAACAGCGTAAAAACCAAGCTGTTGCAAAAAGTGAGAGAGAAAGAGATACACATAGATGACTACAATATCTATCTTCATTACATAGTATAAAATAAAGTCGCTGTCGCTGTCTGTCCCTATCTAACTCTTTTAAAGTACATAACGGATTTTGAAGAGGGGTTTTTTAATAGATAGAGTGATTCAAGAGTAAGGTTTATATATATATATAATACATGTACACCCGTGCGAAGCCGGAGCGAGTAGCTAGTTATGATAATAAATCATTAATTTATTACACGCACAACGGCCCAGAAGAGAGGCTGATGGCGGAAAATAGAGTCCAATTTACATTTACAAAACATTAATTACCTGCAACTAAAACTTTAGCTGAATCGTCACTATCTTTAGGAACCTTCTGATCATTGTTCGATTGACCATTTTGTTTCACATCCTTTGTTTCTTTGTTCTCTTTAATATTTACTGGATCTTTTGGTTCAGGAGAAGGACTTTTTTCTTTCTTTACAGTAGCATTGCCATTTTGAGTTGGACTACTTTTAGTACTTTCAATATTTGGAGATTTCTCTGTAACTTCAGTTTTAATTTTCTTAGATGAAGGACTCTTATTTTCTTTCTTTTTTGCATTCTGATTTTCCTGTTTTATTTTAGCCTTTTTACTTTTTGGCGAATTATATGTTTTTGGAGGATTTTCACTTTTAAGAATTTTCATTTCTGCTGCACCATCTTCTTTAGCCTCAGATTCGCTACCGGAGCTTTCTATTCGTAGTCGCTTACCTTTAGCTTTCTGAAGAAAATAAATTCTTGTTTATGATATAATACAAATCAAATTATTAACAAATAACGTATTTCCAAAAAAAATGTATCTAAGTATATCTATCAGTTGTCTAGTAAACAATACAAGTTTGCTTAACTTGGGACTAGATTACGACATTGTGAATGGTCCTGATAAAACTGAATAGGAAACGCCCCTACACATCCTATGTGGTTGTAGCCCACTCATGCATAAACGTAATATCCCCTTTGGAAAGTTTACACTCTTTCCCGAGGAGATAAAAACCATCGCTCCTAAGAATATCCTTCAATTCTTGTCCCTGACGGGTCTAGGTAGCGAACATTGAAAAAGGGCGAGCACAATAGATCTATGTAGGTCGCAGTGCTACAGGTTCAGGTATCTGACAATAGCCCAAACAACCCAATAAAAAAAAATGGTCCAGATATAATAATAATCTTTATTCAAATAAAGTTAATATAAGCACTTTTGAATAGTCAAATTTTTTATTCTACCACTCATTCCAAATGCAGCCTGCACAAGAAGAATGATGAAGAAAATTGTGTAATAATCTCTTTTAAATAAATGTTGTTCTAATCATACATACTAACAAGGCCTTCTATAATCAACATTTAAACTGCTACACACTCAATCTCTGTGCAATCAGATAATATTGTCAGCGCTATGAATTTTATGTTACAATTTGTCTATAAAAACTGTAATGTCTAGAAATTACAGGAGCACAATAACAAACAACTGTATTTCGGATCTTAAGTTTATTTACAACTACAGATAACTGGTTTACAGATTATCTACATTACTTTATTATACATTGTATTATTATTATACATTCTATTATACTTACATTCCAATGCTCCTCTAGTAAAATTTGATTGAATGATAGATCTGGAGATCTATAAGATAAAATCAGTATTGTAATAAGTGGTAAGAAAGTTACCTTCTCAGAATTGGTTATTGGTGAAGCAGACGGTGATTTTGGTGTTTCACTACCACTGCTGTCCAACCGACGCCTCTTCGCAGATACCTGTGAAATATATAATGTAAATTATGATGTGTGATTTTTAAATGTTTCAATTTTAGGTGATTGTTCTATTAATTTATCCTGTAAAGAAATTAATAATTTCATTTAAATAAATCTAATCTTATTGATATTATAAACGCAAAAGTTTTTGAGTAGGGATGTTTGTTACTCTTTCACACCAACAACTACTGAATGGATTTGGATGAAACTTTACAGGAATATAGCTTATGCAACAGACAGGCTATATTTTTTATTGAAATTTAGCGCAGGTGAAACCGCTGGGCACCGATAGTTAATATTATAAATGGGAAAGTTTGTGAGTAGTGATGGATGTTTGTTACTCTTTCACGCAACAACTACTGAACGGATTTTACAGTAATATAGCTTATACATCAGAATAACATATAGGCTATAAATTTCACGCGAGTGAAACCGCGGGAACAGATAGTAATATAATAATGGCTTCATAATAATAAAGCCTTCTTTCTGAAAGTTGGGCTTCATTTTGTGGTTTATCAAATGTCCCACAACTTGATATGCCTTTTGGCACAAGCCTCCTCCAGCACTCTCCACTGAGCTCTGTCTTCCGCAACCCTATTCCAGAATGATCCTAGAGTCAGGTTGATGTTGTCTTTCCAACATATTCTTGACCGTATTCTGGTCCCATCTCTTATATATCTAATAATAATTATTATTTATTTATTATCTGGCATACTTGCCCATTTTGTCAGTATTATGGATTTCTTATAATTACTGTTACTATGTACAGACAAATAACATCAATAATTAATATTAAGTAAATTAAATTAAAATATAAATTAAAATACACTCACATATATAAATATAAAAATTATACAATTATTTAATTTGGTTGAGGGGAGACTTTTTATAAAATGGATAGATTAATTTCATAATTTTCATCAGAAAATTGTTGAAGTAACATACATAAAAATTTCATAAATGACAATAAAAGCTTTTTAAAAATACATCAAATTGATTATTAGTTCATTTACTGAAAGACCAAATTGATTCATCATCATTTCAGCCCAAAAAATAATGAAAAAAGTCCTCCCCATAAAATCTCCACAACAATCAGTCTGCGCTGCTAGCATCCAATGCCTTCCAACGATCGTGACCAGATCATCGGTCCGCCTTGTCAGAGCCTTTTGACAATTGGTTTATATTTTTTAAAAATACCTTACCTTTTCTGTCTTTGGTGTGACTGGAGAGTTCTCATTACTTGTTGATTCATTATTGGTATCTTTAACCTGAAATTTAAAAATAATAAATAAACAAACAGTAAGACATGTATGCAATAATAGTCTTAGCAGTATAATGGTAGGAACAAGTAACTGTGGGTTCTTATATGGATGATAATGTAATGGTGCAATGACCTGCACTAATGGTATATGCTGACAGGGCACCAGTGGAGGATGATGAGATGAGAATGAGGTCAGGTCAGTCTAGTGTCGACAAACCCCTATTTTTTGGGGGGAAGGGGATTGTTAGTAATGTGGATTGATAACCCCATTGCTAGCAATGTACCGTGTCAGGTCAACCTCCACGCGGTTCCCCCTGGTAACCATAGTGTTAAATTCCTGGTGAATTTGTCATGATGGGCTAACTGACCTGACCTCATGCTCGTCTTATCATCCTCCACTGGTGCCCCGCCAGCGTAAACCGTTAGCGCAGGCGGGTGCACCATTCCATTATCATCCACAAAAAAAAAAACCCCCTATTTTTTTATAGCATTATTAATTTATATGGCAAAACAATGTTTGCCGGGACAGCTAGTAAATATATATTAATACAGGTACAAATACCTGCCCCACTCATAATGTGTTAAGTTGCCTGAACGAAAAACACAACCCAATTGCCAACAATGTATTCTGTCAGGTTGATCTCCATGCGGTTCCCTCTGAAAACCATCGTGACAAATTCATGGTGAATTTACCACAATGGGCTAACTGACCTGACCTAATGCTCATCTATTCATCACCAGTGTAAACCGTTAGCACAAGCGGCTGCACCATTCTGTTAAAATCCATAAGAAAAAACCATATAATAAAAATAAAAAATCAAAAGTGGTCTCTATGTCCTGGTAGATTTGCAGCACAAAATTCTTTGTTGAGTATGGAATTATACAGATTCTAAAGTCTGACTAACCAAAAAGCAAAGATAAGAAAAAAAATATTTAGGCAAAAGATTAATGCTAAACAAAATAAAGATTGTGGATTGGTACTTGTCATGGTTTAATAATAATGATGTACTCACTTCGTCCTTTTCTTGTTTTATTTCAGGCTTTTTAGGCGTGATCTTAAAAAACGATGTTATACTTTTCTGAGACATTTTCTTAACATCTACAACAATTGGCGGCAAAACTAATGGGAAGACATTAAAACTTCTGTTGTTTAATTTAAATCTAAGTATTGGTAACCTATAATGTATGAATCTTAGAAGAAAGCCCATCAACAATTAATCATTATCTCTTTTTTATTGTGTACAAGATGTTTAAAGTAAATTTCTAATTACAAAGTATTTGAGAGATAAACAAATAGAATTTGAGTAATTTCGAGTAAAAGCAAATTCTGAATGACAATATGCTGTCAATCATTCTGTCATTCAATGTTTACACTTGAATTGCTTTTGAAATGATTTTCACTGCAAAATATCCAGACGTATATACATATATTTATTGAATAAAACTTTTGCGCCTATTAACGGTGCCCGTAGTAGCTAATTCGTCAATGATTCTATTTTAACAAAATTGTTCATAGAGACTTAGTGGGAAACAAACGTCTATATAGATACAATGACCGATTCCCATCGTCAATTTATTATTTTGCGACCCTTTGTATAGGACCTACGAGCGTTTATTATAGTATAGATTTTGTAATTATGTATCTTATACAAAGAATACTGTGACCGTGTCTAGTAGGTTTAAGTCTCAAGCAAAATAGGGTGAAATTAAAATTTGTATCCGAACTATACTTCATCCAATAATTGTGTGTAATTTTTTTTTAAATGTATCCGAATGTATCTGAAGTATTTCCTGTTAATGCTCAGAATTCTTTTTTAGTGCAGTATTAAGAATGGTCATAAACTTTCAATAGTGTTATAAGGGTTGAGAGTGTTTATATGAATAAATTTATATTATTATATGAAATTGCAATATTAATATAATAGTAGTGGATTTAAAACAAAAAGTATATCATTTGAGCTAAAATGTAGGACTTATTTTGCTAAGATGGCTCCCTCTAGTAGTTGAAAACTCAACTATACGCGTGTCGTCCATGTTCCGAATGTGTTGTGACTTATTTTTGTTTTGTGTTAATTTTCAATTAGGTTATTATAAATGTGAAATGCAAAAGCATGTGTTATCCCAAATAGTAGAAGGTTGCTCCGGCTGAATGGATCCCGCCGTAGCGTGGTATCAGCCCGAGCAGGAAGGACCCGCGAAGCGCCTGTGGCTTCGTATCTGGGAAACCCAAAGTGAAATAGACAAAATGAATTTAAAAAACTTAGAGAACGCTAATCCTAATGTGAATAAAGCTCAAGACTTTATACCAATAAATGATGTGAACGGTGAAAGTAGGAATAATAATTATTTCAACCCAGCACGGAGGAAAATGAACGATAACCGTGCATCGACTTTTAACCTGAACAAAAATCGTGATGCTCTCATAGGTGAATTCGGTGGTTGTCCGTGGAGAATACCAAATTATATTTATAAGCCTGGAATTTTGGGGTAAGTAACCTTCATAAAAATGAGTAGTCGCATAAGTCTGTCAAACGTGTTTGTCAGGTTGGTTATAGCAGCACGGCGTGTTAATGAAGTTACTAGATAGGCGCGTGGCCGCTGGCCGGCACAGTGTTACAGTTCCGAAAAACGAAATTCATTCGTCACTCTATGTTTCATATTTCGATCGTAATCATTTACCCGCGTATTTGCGACAGTCGTATGCAAGAATTACCTTTGCAGTATCGTAGGTTATCACACAACAAAAAAAAAAAACATTAAATCATTAATAAAATATTTTTTTTTATCTATTTGCCAATATGTCTTACTTACATACATTAATAATATGCCTTGTATCTATTGTTATCAAAATTAAATTATAAGTTCTGGACTTGACCACGATTATGTGACCCCCTCCTGGCGCCAAAGCTGGATCCGCCCATATACTCAATTTGAAGACATGTTCTTCTCAAATTCTAAAAATCCATTCAAGAACAAATAAATATATCAACATTGTTTATATTAACAGAACATTTAAATTTTTTGAATAGAGATAAAACTTATCAAGTTTCATAATGTAGTATACTATAGGTACACAATGTTTATCCAAACATATCAAAAATTGTAGGCATCAGGTAAATTTTAAAGGTACTCCTGCTCAATCTATATTCACATGTAGAGAAATATGGACATAAAGGCTAAATTTTAAAGGTGATTTTCTCAAAATTCTCTCACTCTCTCAAATGTATTACACTGATTGCAGTGTAATACATTTGAGAGATTTTCTCAGGATAAATATTGAGCGTGAGCATTGGCTCACGCTCAATATTTATCCTGAGAAAATTGGACTCAAAAGGCTAAATTTTAAAGTTGATTTTTTCAAAATTCTCTCTCAAATGTAGTACACTGCAATACTCCCGCTCATGTATATTCACATGTAGAGCAATATGAACCTAAAGGCTAAATTTTAAAGGTGATTTTCTCGAAATTCTCTCACTCTCTCAAATGTAGTACACCAGGAGTGTCCTACATTTGAGAGAGTCTTAATATTTATCCTGAGAAAATTGGACTGAAAGGCTAAATTTTAAAGGTGAATCTTTTAAAAATATCTCGACTTACCATAGATGTACATTGAGTAGCATGATTACTAAATTTTTACATAATCTTATCACATACAGATTGTATTTCCTGTGACCAAGTGTTTTTGTTCCATTCATTATAATCTAGTGGTTGCAGGGAGTTCCTACATGTGTATATTTGTAAAATGCCATATATTATGACTAACTGTTCCCGCGACTTCATCCACATGGAATTTAATTTTATTTTTCTAAAATAAAAATAGCTTAAGTCACTCTGGTTTTCCTTCGAAACATATAAATGTTTTACATCAGCTAACTGCCAAAAAATGTCCTGTCAAAATCGGTCCAGCCATTTCAGAGATTAGCCAGAACAAACAGACAGACAAAAATTGTAGAAAATGTTATTTTGGTGTATGTACGGTATTTATATTCATGTGCTATATGCACGTAAAAAACGGTTATTTCAATATTACAAACAGACACACCAATTTTATTTATATGTATAGATCATTAAGTCACAAAATAAAGCAATAGGCCTTTATTTTATTAATAAATTTATTATTATGTTTTATTAATATAATATTTAGGAGTTTCTTTTTTAATTAATTAAGTAATTATGCATTAATTAGTAAAATTAGACATTATAAAATTAATTGTGTAGAGTATTAGAATTATCTTCTAAATTGATTCTTCACTTTGGGTGGTATTTTTGTCAGCTTTCTCTAGCATATATTTTTACAGAATACATTAACATATATGCCAATGTATTCTGTAAATAATTCATCCTATTTCCGCAAGCTTTTTTCTGTTAAAACTTTGAACAGACAGTTTATGTCTTTTAACAATTTTAAGATTTTATTATACATCATCATCATCATCAGCCCACTGCAGTCCACTGCTGGACATAAGCCTCTCCCAAGGCACGCCACTGGGCACGATCTTCAGCCCTTCTCATCCAGTTACTACCCGCAACCCTACGTAAGTCGTCGCTCCACCTAGCTGCGGGGCGTCCCCGTTTATTATACATAAGTATACTTAAATAGTAATAATAAATTACTGTGCAAAAATCAGTTACAAAATAGACATAACTAAGTTTCTATATCTGTTCCATATATAATGCAATAGTTCTTAAAAACTATTTAATACAAAGTGCAATACTGTCTAAACCAGGCCTGTATCTAAGACACCATAAATTACTTGAATTAATTGAATATATTCAATACCATCTATGACCCTACTAGTATATATTTCATAGTATGTTATATTTATAAAAACATGCAGAAAAACTGATAAGAAATGAAGAAGATAGCAATTGTGTATCTTCGTTACTTGTCAGTTCTTCTCAGCTGAATTGGCTAGCGAACTGGACTGTAGGGATAGCGGAAAAGAATATGACTTTCTGCCTTTTATGTGTAAAAGGCAGAAAGTATATGTTGTTGGCAGCTTGTTTATATGTCTTGTTGTTTTTATATGTCACTTTTGACTACTTGTTGTTACATTTTCTGCGCTGTGAGCCCTTTTGGGAAATATACACTTTTTTACTATTATTTGATTTTAATTGAAATAGTAGTTGTGTTGCCATTCCAGTCACACTATATGAATAAATATTTTTTTATTTGATTAGATGGGTATATCGAAAATGAATGCTTCAGTCATATGCTATGTCAAAAGCTGTGTGGAAGGTGGACTCTTTCAGTTTATATAGCAATATGAATTTTTAAGTTTTTTTCCCCTATATTATATTATGCTATACTAGGATATCTGATTTTTATTGGTTATTATTATACATAATTAATTAATAATGGGGAGCTCCCCATTATATTTAAAATCAATTATTTGATAAGATATATTTATTTTACCTTTTATGTCATTTACGACAGTAAGATAATGTCAGTTTTATTGCAAGCAATGAAATTATTCTAAACTATCTGTTTCCGCGACTTCGTCCGCTTGGAATTTAACTCTATTTTTCTAAAATAAAAGCAGCCTAAGTTACTCCTTATTACATCAGCTATCTGCCATAAAAAGTCCCGTCAAAATCCGTCCAGCCATTTCAGAGAATAGCCAGAACAAATGGACAGACAGACAAAAATTGAAAAAAATGTTATTTTGGTGTATGTACGGTATTTATATTCATGTGCATGTAGTAAAAAACGGTTATTTCAATATTACAAACAGACACTCCAATTTTATTTATATGTAATAGTTAGATTAATAATTTTTCATTACCCCAGCATAATAAAATTGTAAATTGTCGCTAAAAACTATCTCAACGGGTCAGCTTTCAAACAAATAAAAATCGCATGAAAATAGCTGTATTCGTTTAGGAGTTACAATACAGATATACAGATATTGTGGGCGCAAAAAAAAACAGTTTGATCGCATTATTGCAGGTCTTCCTTAAACTTATATGAGAAGCATAATCTTTCAAATAAAAAGCATTACTCGATATCCTATATCATCATTGTCTTGCCTTTATCCCATTATCTGTGCTCGGCGCAGTATGTCATTCTCTTCCACTGCTCTCTATCGGTCGTCATATCTAAACATACTCTTCTTTTATTCATATCATCTTTCACACAATCCATCCATCTTTTCTTAGGGCGGCCCCTCCCTTTACATCCATCCACATTCATATTATACACTTTCCATAAGACATGGTCCTCATTCCTCCGCATAACATGCCCATACCAGCTCAATCTGTTACCTCGCAACTTTTCTATAACCGGCGCAACTTTCAAATTTACTACTCGATGTCCTATCAGACAGAGAAAAAAAATTATTTAAAAAAACCCTTTTTTGAAGACATGAATACACTTCTTAAAAAGTTATACTTAAAGTATCCATCAATGTCAGGCTTTAGTAACCATTTGATTGGGAACTAACTATTCAACTTGAATATCTCAGTGGTCTAACGATTTTAGCACATCGCTTTCCTTACGATGGTTGCGGGCTCGATTCCTCGCACGCAGACATTTGTATCCATGACTATGATTGTTTGTATCGGTCTGGGTATTATCTATTTATGTTCTATATGCATTTACAAAAAAAATATCTTTTATATCAGTTGTCTAGTACCTATAACACAATTCCTGCTTACCGTGGTATTAGATGGCGCTGTGTTAATTGTCCAGGAATATTTATTTTATTCAAAGTCGAAAGTCAAAATAATTTAATCATATAGGATATTTTTGGTCACATATGTCTGGCGGGGCACTAGTGGAGTGTGACCAAGTGAGCATGAAATACCTGATTTTATTTTATCCCATCTTGATATCGCATATAGGTGTATGGTAGCCCATCTTGAGAAATGGTTACGAGTTTCAAGGAATCGCATGGAGGTCAACCTGAGCCACATTACTAACAATCCCCCTTCTCTTCAAACCTGATTAACTAACAATACTAAACTCGAGAGAATGATTTTTTTTAATCAACATTGACTCGAGGCGAAGGTGTATTCGTTTAGGAGCTATAATAAAAATGATATACATTGTACGAAAAAAAATCACTTTGCATTAAATGGATAACATTAAAAATGTGGGAACACACAAATCACATTTAAGGGGATGAAAATTTGTATGAAACTTTGTCAGTTTTAAACCGATCGGGCTGAGACTTTGCATACATAAAGCTACTATGACGTCGGCATCCCCTAAGAAAGGATTGTGATAAATTCCATCCTTAAGGGGATAAATTAACGCGAGCGAAGCCGCGGGCGATAACTAGTGTATAATAATGTACAAATCGCGAGAGAGCGATTTTTTTTTAATTCAACATTGACTCGAGATTTTGGCGTATGCATACGGCCTTGTCAATAACAGTCAGTGCACTCGGTGGCAGTGTAATAAACGATTATGTCATTATCAGGCCAGCAATATAATTGTATATTATGAATTGCGATAGGTTTGTTTTGTTTGTGCGCATCTACAG